TAATACATACAATGCACAGTAAGTTGAGTGACAGTAGAAATCACGTGACCAGTAAAGTCGATATGACTTGATTGACATTGGTATGATTTACTGTTATGTTCTGCTTGTATGGATATTGTCATCTGTTGTTCACTTATTTCACCATTATAATCTCCATCTCTTGTAACATCAGATGTAATAGATTCATATGTATTAGCAGTCCATACATTGTTATCTTTTAACCACGATATCTGAGATGCTGGATTACTGGTTGATGTGATACAAGTCAGTATTTTAGTTTCAGCTTCCTTCACAAGATTGGTTATGCCAAATAATGTCACACTATCTGCTGGAACTGTAAAACAAAAGATGAACTTAATGATTGGGTCCATTTATCAAAATAAAAGATCATACATGATGAAACCACCAACATTACAGGAATTGATACACTACTCTGATATGTCTATTTAAATTATATATAAGATATATTTATAGTAGACATTGGATAGTTGAAGTTGACATGGTAATGGTGTAGTTTGTTCAACATTAGTTGCTTTACATGTATACATTACTTGATTATCATTTCTTTTTAGATTCCATATATAAGATATACTTACAGTATACATTGAATGGTTCAAGTTGACATGTTAATAGTGTAGTTTGTACAACATTAGTAGCTTTACATGTATACATTACTTGATTATAATTTCTATTTAGATTCCATATATATATAACGTATTGCGGAAGCAATGTACTTTGTGTCGGGAACGCAAGCGATAGTGCGCCATCAACGTTGCTGATGTGCATGGTGTGATGTCACTCCTCCTCAAGGCAGACACCACAGAAATGTAAGCGATTTTTCTTAGTGTGGTAAATTGTTGAATAAATACTGATTTGTTATTGATCGTCGCTACACCTGGTATACATCCAAGATTTGAATGACGGTTATTTTGTGTGGTATATCATTTGAATTTCATTATTTCATTTTTTCCTGGAAGCGATTTGAATTTGTATTCTGCCACGAG